GTCCTGTGTGCAGTGTGGTGTTGTTGATTGTGAGTCCTGTGTGCAGTGTGGTGTTGTTGATTGTGAGTCCTGTGTGCAGTGTGATGTTGTTGATTGTGTGTCCAGTGTGCAGTGTGGTGTTGTTGATTGTGTGTCCAGTGTGCAGTGTGGTGATTACAGTTGTGTGTCCTGTGTGCAGTGTGGTGATTTCGGTTGTGTGTCCGTGAGTGAAGGATTGAGTTAGAGTATGGCTTAAACAAAAAGTTCCTGGTTTCCTCCTCTGACAGACTGTCCTCACGGGGTTCGGGGTTCGGGGTTTGGGGCTCAGAGACTTACAACAGGACTCACTTGAACTCTTTCTCTGTTTATACTACTGTTTCAGAGGTAACTGAACCTCTCCAGGATTTGGCAACTTGTCTCCAAAATTATCAGTCAGCTTGTTGGTTCAGTTACTGAAATAGCTCAGCGGAACTCAAACCAGCAGGTGTGGGGTCCCCTGCGGGGGGTCCCCTGGCCTGAGTGGCTGGTGTTTGCTCTGGTTTCACTGTGCTAACCAGTGAGATCGGGCTCAGAGCACGGTCCATGAGCCAGCCAAGGGAAAAGGCATTGTATCACTCGTCACTGCTGCAGAGACTCCACAACCCTGGCGAGGAAATGCAAAACATCGTTTAGAAGCAACTTCCAGTCAGTGCTTCCTCATCTTTCCTGCTCTGAATGAACCCTGGTGTCTGACATCTGGAGGATTGAATTAAAACTTTTCTGTTTCTACAGGGTGACATAAGCTGTTCACAATGGGACTAAGGAAGGACTGAGTCTGTGTGTATGGACTCATGTCACACACATCACACAACACACAAACACCCACCCACTCCCACACACGAGAGGAGTTCAGGAGTCTTACCCAGACAGCCCTGTTCTTCAGAGTGTAGCCTCTGTACCACCCTGAGGGAGAGACAGAGAGAAATAGCGATGACACAGAGACAGAGCAGAGCTCTCTGTGACATCGGAACAAGACAAAGTTTGAAAAGAAAGGAGACACAACGCCTGAAGGTGTCAAACTCCTGAAGAAAGCTCCACAGCCGAAATGTTGTGTCTCTTTTCTTTTCAGCTAGAATAAACCTTTACTTGTTCCTTTGCAGTCTATCCATGCTGATGCAGCTCCCTGCTGGACCTTCTCTGTGACATCCTCTCCTTCCTGTCTTCCTCACTGGCGCAGAGGTCAGTGAGCTGTAGTAGCTCCTGGTACAGCTGCTCAGACCTCTTAATGATCACCTTCACATCCTTCTCCTCATCAGTGTGTTTCCTCAGCTTTCTACCTGAGCTGTTTTGCATTTATTCTGAAATCATGCACACAACTGTTACTGCACACAGAGGCCACCCAGCTAATTGTGTGGCTCGTTAAGCTAATTTTGCTCACCTCAATTATTACAATTGCTACAGCAAAGGGTTTAAAATACTTCTGCTAATATGACTTTCATGCAATCTATTTTTCATTCATGGTAATTATCGAATTCTTTTTCGGATTTTGGCTTTGAGCGAGTGTCGTGACCTCAAGCTTCATAGCAGCGGGAGTGAAAGCTGATCTGCACTGTGGGGCTGGAGGCTTCTGAAAGACCCACTTCCTCCACAGCCTGACAGCCTGGGCTGCTGTGGGTCCTGCTGACTCTCCAGCACCAGTGTGCACTGCCTACCTCCACAGAGCTCGAGGATGTACACGGTGTCTCCCGCCTGCAGGGGGAGACAATGCTGCTCCTTCCCGGGGAAGTTCCAGATGGCTGTGGAGAACAGCGCACAGGGAGAGCAGGACAGAGCTGTTTACTTGTGACCAGAACTGTGCTGCCCCCAAAGCTTAGACTTGTCTGAGTCTGAGCCCCAGGAGCCCCCCCTGTCCCCAACCCTCCCAGGAGCTCCGGGAACCCCAAGAACCTCCCCCATCCCCAACCCCCA